CGCGGCTATAAAGGCTCCTGCCATAGCCGCGTGTCACCTCTCCAGCCAGGAGAGCGCGTGCGGGGCTAAAGCAGCCCCCCGCGCCCTCTCCCGGCTGGAGAGGTGACGCGCGGCTGTTGAGGCTCCTGCCATAGCCATGCGTCACCTCTCCAGCCGGGAGAGGGTCGCGGGGTGCTTCTTTAGCCCCGCGTGCGCTCTCCCGGCTGGAGAGGTGACGCGCGGCTGTAGAGGCTCCTGCCATAGCCGCGCGTCACCTCTACAGCTGGCAGAGGGTTGCGGGGGGCTTCTTTAGCCCCGCGTGCGCTCTCCCGCCTGGAAAGGTGACGCACAGCTGTAGAGGCTCCTGCCATAGCCGCGCGTCACCTCTCCAGCTGGGAGAGGGTTGTGGGGTGCTTCTTTAGCCCCGCGCGCGCTCTCCCGGCTTGAGAGGTGACGCGCGGCTGTAGAGGCTCCTGCCATAGCCGCGCGTCACCTCTCCAGCCAGGAGAGGGTCGCGGGGCTATGGCGTCTTCGCTCCATAGGATGCACACACATTTCCCCTTCATTTTTGAAGGGGAAAAAGTGCGTCCTATAGAGCGAAAAATACGGTAATCAATAATAGTTTTTTATTGCATTGTAACATATAATTTATTTTTGTGTATAATTCTTACGTATATTTCATGGCCATACGTTTCTGCTTGACTACAACCTCTGTTTGGTTTATTATTAATAGATTTGAATCTGTTCGTGAAAATAAGATAAAAATGCACTAAATTAGGGGAAATTGTATTATCAGATCGAGGGAGGCTCCAAACCAGCTTAATTGATCATCACTAAAGATGCAGAGCAGATGTTGATTCTTGGGAAGACAGAGCTTCTCTAGCGTAGCAGGTACTGTGAACCAGGAAATCCCTGGATCAAATTTCACTCTCACACAAGTCGGTGGCCTCAGGTAAGCCATTCACTCACCTGCAGTGATCCTAGCTCATGAGACAATCTCAGGGCTGTGGGTTCAAGCACCATATTGGGCAAAAGATTCCTGCACTGCAGGGGGTTGGACTAGATGACCCTCGTGGTCCCCTCCAACTTTATGATTCCATCCCCATTTACTCCCTCTAATAGCAAACCAAGCGCAGGGGAACCTGAAATTTTGCAGAAATACGGAGGTGCCTTTAGGGAGGAAAATGAAGAGGCAAAAATAAATAAAGGCAGGTGGATGAGAAGTAAGCGTGCATGGTGGCCAATGGTATGTTGAGTTTGTGGGACAGGGACCTGTGTGTTAAAAAGCAATGGAGTATCCTGGAAAGGGGCATAACTTACTGCACTTGGCATGAATTTGGAATGTTTTGCACTGAACCGGAGACTTGTGCAACAGTCCTGTAAGATAGTCTGCTATTCATACTGAATACAGTGGTACCTCTGGATACGTACTTAATTCGTTCCGGAGGTCCGCTCTTAACCTGAAACTGTTCTTAACCTGAAGCACCACTTTAGCTAATGGGGCCTCCTGCTGCTGCCGCACGATTTCTGTTGTCATCCTGAAGCAAAGTTCTTAACCCGAGGTACTATTTCTGGGTTAGCGGAGTCTGTAACCTGAAGCGCATGTAACCCGAGATACCACTGTACACCTTTGTCTTGCACCAATGCTCATTTAAGGCAGGTCTGCATCTTCTGGCCCCACCCACAACCTCATTTGAGGTCCCATTCGCAAAGAAGCTTTGTACACACGGGTTCATCTCAACATGCATAGGCTCTGAGCATACACCTGGGGGAAAATGGAGGGTACAGATCATGTACCAGGGGAGTCTGAATTTGTTTGGGTGTCTCCACGCAGGGCCCTGTGCAGACAGGATCCTGAATACATGGAGGCTGAGGTGAGGTCCCTGAGTGAAATTCTGAACTGGCAATTGAGCCAGAAGCTCCCTGGTTCAGAAGACACAATTTTGGCCAGAATGCTACAATATCTCTTGCTCAGCCTACTTAAAACATTAATCCTCTGCTTGCACCCCAGCGAGCCGGGGGGGGGGGAGTTGACTAGACTTACTGCAGCCTGCCTTGTAGCTGAAACCAGGAGGAAGGAGGAATCCCTGCTGGGCTGCTGCTGCTAGAGTCCGCTGGTCTGGAGGGAATACTGGAATCATTAATGGCGGCAGCTGACCTTGGACCTGCTGAACAGGAGAAGGAAAATCAAACCAGAAATCGGGGCTTCTCCTTAATGGTAAATTTGCAACAGGACAGTGGTGGCATTTGCAGCTAAAAAGATTGGCCTACAATGAATCCAGTCCAGAAGAGAGCAGTCTATGCACTGAATATTTATTATATTTTGCAAAATTTGTATACCACTTTATAATCATAATAAAAAAACCTCTAAGCGGTTTATGAAGGACAACCTAATGCATACCTTCAAAATGCTGACGAAGACAAACGTTAGAAACACATTAACACTGCATTTTAAAAGAGAAATAAAATCAGCCATCTTAATACATGTTGAAATTGCACGCTTAGGATTGTTGATTTATAATTTTTTTAGCTGCTGGCAAAACCAATGCAGTTGTGGTACCTGACTAATATTATTGGGCAGGGAGTTCCAATGAGTAGCCACTGTCACAATGAAGTACTGAGTTCTTGCAAATGTGGAACGAACACTTGTAAATAATAATAATAACAATAATACGGTAAATTTTTATTGCTCTGTATGTGCTAATTGGCTTACCAATACCAGGATGGCTGTGTAATAGAGACAACTTTCTGCATGTGAATGGGAACTATAAGGAAGGCAGGTAGCAGGGCCTGTACTTTTCTGCATTCCAGACCTCACAGATTACAATTCACTGCCCACTCCCTTCCATTAGATGAAATTTGAAGCTCTCAAACAGTCACAAGATCTGGTTCAGAGGCTCATTTGCAGAGCTACAGGGTCATATGAAATGATGACCCACCACAAATGCAGACTACCAGCCAGTTATGACACTGTCCCACTCCAACTTGGATGCCCCAGCTGGCAAAAAGTCTAGAGGTGGGGAAGATCTACTGTCCGGTTGCCTTTGAAATAAGATGTTGCTTCCCCACATTTCCGAGTCGCTTGGAAATAAGCCACTGCCCCCATGAGCCATCAGACACTCCCCCACATCTCTGGCCATGGCAATACTCAAGCAGAAAACCACTGCATGGAACTGAGGTCTCTCTCTTTCTTTCCCTTCTCCAGTGTCTGGTGTATTGCTATGAAGAAGACAGGACCTCTGCTGGCCTCTAGGAAATGTAGCTGGTTGCGTAGAATATCAATAACCAGGAGATCATGGGACTTATATCCCCAAATTAGTCTGAGGCATGTCTTTCAATTGGCGTTAATGAAGGTCCACATTCAGGTGGAACTTATTTATTAGGAAATAAATAAGAAATACATTCTCCGGAGGGGCAAACAATGTTTGTCTGTTGCAGAGAACGTCTTAAGGGCTATCACATTTATTATGGCATGATAAACCCTTTTGGAGTACTGTTCAGTTCTTCAGATGCATGAAATTTTATCCTGAGTTAGAGGTATACAACACTAGCATCACAAAGATCTGTATGCGGTGTCTTCCTGAAACAAAATCTCTCTCTCTCTCTCTCTCTCTCTCACACACACACACCAAACAAACAAACAAACAAACAAACAAACAAATGTAGGATTGGGCAAACCTGACAATAACAGTTTCTATTAGTTTTCCATTTTCCCCATCTTAAATGTAGTTCTCCAGATTCCCAAATCACTTTGCAATTAAAAAAAAGTCTTCATGAAAATTCTCCTGCCTCTTAGTGCAAATTTCAGCTAATTTAGACATTTTGTTGTCTAACATACACATTTTGGAAATGCAGGTTCCTGTAATATAATGCATTTTGCATGTTATTTGCACTAACTTATGCTTTTTACACCACTAGAATGTGCATTGTTGGTAGCATTATGAGGCTGAAGAACAGTCTTGCAAAATTTGGAGAAGGGCAAATTTTGAACCACAACTGCATTTTCACGCACGCTATTGTTCCAGAAAGTACAAACTAGGCTCACCTTTAAATGTGAAGTGAACCAAATTTCTCCCCCATCTCTAATCTTACATTATCTAAGTAAAAAAAGGGTAAAGGACCTCTGACAGTTAAGTCCAGTCGCAGACAACTCTGGGGTTGCAGCGCTCATCTCGCTTTACAGGCCGAGGGAGCCGGCGTTTGTCCGCAGACAGTTTTTCCGGGTCATGTGGCCAGCATGACTACACTGCTTCTGGTGCAACCTAAACCAGAGCAGCACACGGAAACACTGTTTACCTTCCCGCCAGAGTGGTACCTATTAATCTACTTGCACTTTGGGGCGTGCTTTCGAACTGCTAGGTTGGCAGGAGCTGGGACTGAGCAACGGGAGCTCACTCCGTTGCGGGGATTTGAACCGCCAACCTTCTGATCGGCAAGTCTAAGGCTCAGTGGTTTAGACCACAGCGCCACCCGCGTCCCTATTATCTATGTAGTGAACCTTTATTAACGAGTTCAGCTGAGCACGCAAGTTCCCCCCACCTGCCTTGAGAATGGCTGAAGGCTCACTTGCCCAAAAGGTTTTGGCATCTGGGGGCGTCAGTAAACAATTCAAGCAGACCAATGAATCAGTGGCTTCTGGACCACCAAGGCACAATCTTACTACAATCACATGTAGAGTGACTCCACTGAAGCCCAAAGTGCCTCGTTCACCTGCCACAGCACTGCACAATTATAAACACAACACTGACATGAAAGCAGTAGAGGCTGGTGGGGTGGCACAGACAGGGATGCAATCCTGAGCTGGCTCCCAACACTGGGCATTACTGTCAGTTCCTGAGAGGGCAAAGAGGAACTCAGTGCAGTGCGGATTCCTGCTGCTGCTGCTCCAACACCCTGCTTCCTTGCATCCCTCTTCTCTGCAACTAACAGTGCCATTTTGCACTGGAAAGCCAGGTCAGCAATGCCACCCGCCACCTCTATGCTGGCTGCTGGCTGCTGGCTCCTCGCCACACAGGAAGATAGGGGATAGCTTAGTTGGTAGAGCGTGAGACTCCTATTAATCTCAGGGCTGTGGGTTCGTGCCCCACGTTCGGCCAAAGGTTCCTACTTTGCAGGGGGTTGAAATAGATGACTCTGGTGGTCCCTTCCAGCTCCATAATTCTATGATTCAATCGCCATTTACTCCCTTCTAATAGTGAACCGAGAGGGTGAGCACAGGGGAACCCAAAAAGTTTGCAGAAATACAGAAGTGCCTTTAGGGAAGAAAATGAAGAGGGGGAAAAAATGGAGTTGGAAGAGGCCTAACTGTGCTTAGTGGTCCAGTGGTATGTTGAGTTTGTGGGACTGGGACCTGTGTGTTGGAAAGTAATGGAGTATCCTGGGAAAGGGCACAGCTGGCTGGTTGACTGGCAACACTACAATTCTACATGAAAGCATTGTTTGGTGCATAGGGCACACTTTGGGAAGCTGAAGCAAGCATCATCCTCAGGAGTTTGGGGCAGCGACAATGTGCAACTACCTCAGAACACTTGCTGGTCGCAGACTGCACTGCACTGCACTGGGTCTCACACACAGAAGCACCCTGTTCTGTTTGCCATGCACCAAGAAAGGAAGATTCCACCACTAATTCCTAACTCAAGCGACTTCTCCTTTTCCACTCGTGCCCCTGTTGTTATTCTAATTCAGCTAACAAACGGTGCACACGCCCCACAATTTATTATTATTTTTAACACCCTGGAATAATCCCATCCCTGCCTTGAATCGATATTTCGTTTTTCTTTTTAAAAATCACAAAGAAACTCCATTCTCCTTTTAGAAACAAAAATGAACAGCCGAGTGGAATTTTCGCATTGCATTCTTCGGCAGAGAGCCATGGAACTTAAAAAAAAAAAAAAAAGGTTCCAAGGATGAAAGTGACTTTGCCAAGCAAAGAAGCTTCAAAACAGAACTCAAAACACTAATAGAGAGACAGATGGTTCCACTGAAGGCTTTGCTGCCAAAAAAAAAAAAAAAAAAAATTCTACAAAAAAAGGAGAAAAAAAACCCAGAGTGATGTTATTGAAGCCGACTGGAAAGTTCTCTGATGACTGCAAATACTCTTGTCCCATTTCAAGTGTTAACTCTGCCTCCAGGGCTAATATAAACTAAAGAAACACACACACACACACACATGCAGACACACACACACACACACACACACACACAAGCTCATGCACAGCCTCTGCCAAGCCCACAAGGTAGCACAAGCCTGCACTCGATTTCAAGTGACTTCTGGATACGCTAACAAACGCATTGTACTCATGTGTCCCTGTTTGGGAAGGAAGCCATTAGGAAAACAAGGTTTTTTTATTTTATAAAAAATAAATAAATAAAGGCACCATCACGTTTTCTCATACAGAATTTCCACCTCCTGGTACAAATGCAAAAAAAAAAGGGGGGGAGGGTTTGAAATAAATAAATAAATTAAAAGCCTCCTGGCTTCAGATGACAAAACCTAGCTGAGTAATGGAGGTAAGGAAAGCAGAAAGGTGAGGATGGGTTGCGTAGAGACCGAAATAACTCAGTCAAAACAATGTAATTTTCGTTACAATCTGGAATGTAGGGCGAGGGAGAAAGAGAGTTTTAATACCTGTGCTCCATTTCCTTTCTAAAGTAAATAAGTGCCCAGGTAATTTTATTTTTATCAAAATATTACAGGAGGATGAAATGTGAACTGAATGCAGAAGCCGGCTGATTTTGTCCTAAATGCTGTATTTATTTTTTTCGCAGGGGAGGAGGTAGGGCTTTCAGCAAGGTTTGTTTACTTGTTGCTAGGTTACAGATGTGGAAAACGACAAACGCAAAAAACCTAGATCCCCCCCTTTTTAGCTAAAACAACATATTTTTCAGATATGGTTATACAGAATTATGTATACACCCAATTCCTTTTCTCCCCCCTCCCCCTCACCTCTCAAACATCGACTGACTTGTGGACCCTAGATTTAAGAGTTTCTTTAGGGCCACTAAGAACTTCCAATCAGAGCTAGATGCAAACTTTGGCATATATGTGGCCACTCCTTAAAAAGCCCAGCTTGGACCCAATGGAGTGTAGCACTCACTGGAGAATTGCCAATACCCTATTTTGGGGGAAGGGGATGAAAAAGGTGGAAGAGATGGTGGCTAATCTGAATGAAACAGATTAGCTGGATCCACCTCAGTCTGGGTTGAGACCTGGCTAGTGAATCAGCCTTGGTCACCCTGAAGGATGACCAGTATTGAGTAGGAGTGTGACCCTCTTACAATTACACAAACTCTTATTGGCTCCTGGATCAACTGTGGGATGGGTTCCTACCTACATGGTTCAGTCCAAAGAGCAGAATTAGTGAATAGTTAAAGATAAAGGGTAAAGGGACCCCTGACCATTAGGTCCAGTCATGGCCAACTCTGGGGTTACAGCACTCATCTCGCTTTACTGGCCGAGGGAGCTGGCATACAGCTTCCGGGTCATGTGGCCAGCATGACTAAGCCACTTCTGGTGAACCAGAGCAGCTCATGGAAACGCCGTTTACCTTCCCGCCGGAGCGATACCTATTTATCTACTTGTACTTTGATGTGCTTTCGAACTGCTAGGTTGGCAGGAGCAGGGAGTGAGCAACGGGAGCTCACCCTGTCGCGGGGATTCGAACCGCCGACCTTCTGATCAGCAAGTCCTAGGCTCTGTAGTGGATAGTTACTCCCTGGTAATTATCTACCTGGTTCCACCAGGTGCTATTTTGTCTCTAACAACCAAACAACCATCCACTGGGAAGAGTCATCAGGTGTTGTGGAGTACAGTTCCATTGTTATGCTGATGACACACAGCTCCCATAACATTTGAATACGGAGAGACAGTGGAAGCCCTGGACATGTATCTTAATGCAGAGGTAGACTGGATGAGGGCCAATAAATTAATCCTTGGTGTGCATGCAAACTGCTGACCCCAGCTGACTCTCATAACAAGAGACCTGCTGGATCAGGTCCATGGCTCACCTAGTCATAGAATCATAGAATCATAGAGTTGGAAGAGACCACAAGGGCCATCGAGTCCAACCCCCTGCCAAGCAGGAAACACCATCAGAGCACTCCTGACATATGGTTGTCAAGCCTCTGCTTAAAGACCTCCAAAGAAGGAGACTCCACCACACTCCTTGGCAGCAAATTCCACTGTCGAACAGCTCTTACTGTCAGGAAGTTCTTCCTAATGTTTAGGTGGAATCTTCTTTCTTGTAGTTTGGATCCATTGCTCCGTGTCCGCTTCTCTGGAGCAGCAGAAAACAACCTTTCTCCCTCCTCTATGTGACATCCTTTTATATATTTGAACATGGCTATCATATCACCCCTTAACCTCCTCTTCTCCAGGCTAAACATGCCCAGCTCCCTTAGCCGTTCCTCATAAGGCATGGTTTCCAGGCCTTTGACCATTTTGGTTGCCCTCCTCTGGACACGTTCCAGTTTGTCAGTGTCCTTCTTGAACTGTGGTGCCCAGAACTGGACACAGTACTCCAGGTGAGGTCTGACCAGAGCAGAATACAGTGGCACTATTACTTCCCTTGATCTAGATGCTATACTCCTATTGATGCAGCCCAGAATTGCATTGGCTTTTTTAGCTGCCGCGTCACACTGCCAGCATGCTATTCTCACAGTGGCCAATCAGATGCTTATGGGAAGCCTGCAAACTGGACATGAGCATAACAACACTCTGCTCACCTGCAGCTGGTATCCAGAGGCATCAGTGGAAGTAGCACACTGCAATTTTTGGATAAGATCCCCACAGAAGCCATTTGAGTTTCAGTCTTTGCCCATCACGTCACATGTTATTTCACCAGCCTCAGACTCGTAACAGGTAATCTAGGGCCCATAAGAAGCAAATACAATAGACTCCCTCAAAAGCTCCTTCCTTGGAGGTTTTTAAGTAGAGGTTGGATAGCCATCTGTCATGGATGCTCTAGTTGAGATTCCTGCATTGCAGGGGGTCAGATTTGATGACCCTTGGAGATACCTTCTAGCTCTACACGTCTATGATTCTATGACAAACACATTACAGCTAAAGTTGCAATCAGAATTAGTATTTCCCTCTTATTGGTGAACACATGCAAAAACTACTGACCTAAACCAGGCTCGTCCAACAGGTAGATCGTGATCTACCGGTAGATTACTGGACATTTGCAGTAGATCATGGATAGATCACTGCCCCCCCAAACTTTGGCTTCCCTTTAAAAAAGCCTCAACATTTTTGCCTTTCACCTCCCCAAAACGGGGCTTTCCTCCTTTTAAAAAAGCTCTTCAACTTTAACCTGACCCCCCCCCCAAATGGGCCCTCTTCCTCCCTAAATAAAGCTCTTCAACTTTGACCTGAAGCCCCCCAAAAGGGGTAGATCACTGCCAGTTTTTAACTCTGTGAGTAGATCACAGTTTCTTGGGAGTTGGGCACCCCTGACCTAGACCTATTTGTCTCTCCCTAGTGGTTAAAAGTTGCAGCAGATAATAGGTGGACTCTTGGTGGTGCCCCCCCCCTCAGATGGAGAACAGGTCTCAGCAAATTCCCAATCATTCTAAACCCTAATGATGGACAGGGTCTAGTGGTGGACGGTGCCCCTTGGGATGGGAAGAGCAGAAGGCTGATAGACCAACCTTGGGTGGAGCTAATGGAGCAGGAGTCAATGACAGGTGGAGCCCACTCTTTCTAGCTAAGTTCCCATCTTCCACTCTACTGAGTTCTGCAAGGGCAACACTGAGACTAAGGAGGAGGCAGCTGACACCCCCAGATGGGTTGCAAAGAAGAAGGCAGACAAGCAGGGGCTGGCTGAGAGCACTGGGAGGACAATGACCCATTTGCCCTAATGGAGAAGTCTACTGAAAGGGTCTTTTGCTCTAAAAGATGAACACGGCTCTGCCGCGCAGTTTAATATAACACAGAGATGGATAGGAGGAATTTGCTCCCAAATGTGTAGCTATTAATACTACGGAAGAATTCCTCCGAAACGTTTCTTCGGAAGTGGAGGTGGGAGAAAAATCTGCGATCGTTTCATTAATAACTGATGTTCCCGCACAGCGTATGATGGAACATACAGCTTCCAGATGCTTGTTTAATGCAGCGACTGATAAGCTGCGGGCTTTGCGGAGCACCGCGGTGGTAAGAGAGTCAATGAAACATTTGTCAGGGAAAGGAAAACAGGTGTGAGATTGCTCGATGGTGGGCGCTTTCTGCTTTTCAACAGAGAATGTGCCGGATAATTTCCCGAGCTGGAAAGGCTGCCTAATGCTCTGTGGAACATTGTTTCGGTTCTTAAAGATGCCGGGAAGATTTTGGCATTGATGTGATAAATACATTATTTACAACGGGGGGCTGCTGAAAGATCAGGATGCTCATCCACATCTCTGGGGAGAAATAAAAATAATGCTTTTTTATGTTTAAAGCAGCACGCTGCCTTCTATTGCATTCCCAAATATGGGAATCCCTACTGGAATTGAAGGTTGGTTTAACCTCTTCCTATATAAGCAAGTGGCTTCCATTGAGTTCTATGTGGGGCTGTCTCTAAAAGCTTCCTGGAAACTTTAATACAAAAGGCAGCTGCCAAGTTCCTCCATGGGACCAGCTACATCATTGACGGCCAAAACTGGCCCTCCAGCTGTTTTGGGACTACAATTCCCATCACCCCTGACCACTGGTCCTGTTAGCTAGGGATGATGGGAGTTGTAGTCCCGAAACAGCTGGAGGGCCAAGTTTGGCTGTCACTGAGCTACATGGATCACTTCCCATAGTTCTTAAAACAAGTAAACTGACTGCCAATCCTTTATAGGAAAGGTCCATAGCTCAGTGGTAGAACATATGATTTGCATTCAGAAGATCACAGGCTCAACTCCTGGCATTAGGGCATGTCATTTTAGAGGGTGAAACTTAGTTTTTGCATATTTCTTAAGTGAGGGGTTTTTAAAAATATGTATTTGGGTGTGAGGAATTCAAACCTAGATTTATTTTTACTTTTGATGGAGAAGCACATGAACTGCTTTCGGAAAACCAAAGAATTTTCATTCTACCTTCTAGAAATGTCAGGTAATGCTAAACAAACAAATAATAAACAGTGTAACGGCAAGTACTTGGCGATCATTTTTTAGTGATTTCTATGGCTACAAGGCATCTGTTTTTGAAAACTGAAGTTAGCAAGTTTGTGTGTGTGTGTGCATGCAAGTGGTTAGCCTTGCCAAGGGCACAAAATAGCCGGGCACCAACATTGGCTCTATGAAGGAAGCAGGGGTCTTGCAGCAGCTCTTAGCATCCTTAACAGACTCCCCTTCCAAGGACTCTTTGGGAGAAACAATGACTATTTAAGGTGGTATCATGTAGGTGGGGTCTAACCCATTAAATAGGCACTCCTTGCGAAACCTAAATCTGGATCGAATGTATTTGCGTGCCAAAGCCCCATGACCCACAGTTCCCTAGTGATTAATAAACACATGGACACGAGTATTTTGGTTTATGGGTTCAAATAGGCCACAGCTTTATTGGTTACAGATGTGAGCGGTTTGGCTTAGGCACTGGGTGAAGCCAGGCTATATCTGAACTCCTGCCCATCTGCAGGGAGTCCATAAGGATAAGCCACCAATAGGGGGAGCCCTATGATTTATATCAAATAGGGGCACCCAGGGGTTTCCCATTGGGGTCATGGCATGGCCCTAGCCCATGTCCTAGGCTCCACACCCCTGGATCCCTTTAACAGGATACCCTTAATGAGATCCGGCAAAAGGGCAAGAGAGGAGAGTCCCTCCAGCTGTGCCACGGTTAAATTTCCCACAGCCACGCTCCCTACTGGTGCTGATTGGCCAGCGAGGCCTCACTGGGCATAGCCCCACCCAGTGCTGGTGGGACGAGGGGGGCGTCTACACCCCGCCCTCACGCCGGATCACTGCAGGGGCCCAGAAGCCTGGCTGCAGCACCACCCACTGAAAAAGGCGAGCAGACTTCTTTTCTACAGAACCCCCCCCCCTCAAATTTAACCCACAAGTTTTGCATGGCAGTTCTTTTCCCCACCTGCACATCAGCTCATCAGACTGCTTTCATTGATACTGACAGCAGAGTCAACTTAGTGATTCAAACTTTACCCTGCAAATTATCATTTCATGTTCATAGCTTTTTGCCTATCATTTATCTTTCAGCTGATTCCACCCCCCATGTTGTTTTAAGTAACAAGTCTTATTCTTTATTTCCAGTCTATAACATTATAAGATCCTTTGGAAAGAATCCTAATATTGTTGTTCTGTTGTTGTTCTTGTTGCATTATCATTATTATTATTTTAAAATGTTTTCCTTTTCTTCCAGTATCTTTTCTCTCTCCCCCCCATTTCCTTGACAAGTAGTTATAGCAGTGTTTGCTTTAATTAACGTGTAGGCGGGTGGGCAAGAACGAGAGGTTATCTAATAGTACGCAGTGGGCAGCAATTCAAAGTTAGCACTGTTTTTGCATGATGTATTGGCACAAACACAAAGAAAAGTCTAAGTCGAGTCATTTCACTTTAAGTGATATCCATCCATCTATCAAGAAAAACACACTCAACTAACTTTATCTTGGAGGCAGAGCAGATTTTAATCTTTCATGAAACATCGACGCTTGAGTTCTGTAGTTGGGTTAGGAGCCAGAGAACCAGGTCTGTGTTTCCAAGTGGGATTTAGGTTTCTCAAAGAGCATACACCAGCATCACCAGTGCAGCAAAGCAAACTAATTTCAAAGTCCAGGGTCTCTGGAAAGCAGGTTTGGGTATGGCACAGAAAGTCGACGTTCAAAGGAAGACATGCTAAAAACACATGCACCATGCACACTCACACACATAAATCCTTTGCTGTGCTGAGTGTAGTTCATGAGATTCCTGCCTTGATCTCTCGTTGGGCTTCAAGGTTGGCACACACAGAAGATCTGCCACCCCAGGGCTGTTTTAGCAAATCTCTGTGGTGGCTGCCTCCGTATTGGAAAGCTCTTCTCAGTTTCTGACTATGCTGGCTGTTTAAACATCTTCAGACCTAAGATCTTCTTTTAATTCCAACCCACAACTTAGGATCATTTGCCTGAGAAGGTTCCAGATGGATCAATCCAAAAGTCTATCTCTTCCAGCAACCCATTTTTCATGGCAGGCAACCAAAGTTTGAGAACCATTAGTGGACCATAGGCCACCTTTTAGAAACCCCTGCTCTGCACTCACCTTTTTCACCCTGAAGGCCACATTCATGCATGAGCAACCTTCCAAGGGCCACATGGCAGTGGTCAGTGGGGCAAGATGCAAAAGTTGGATTCTATTTACGTAACCTAAGGCTTAGTAGTGTTTTGCATGTGCAAAAGTTGGTGGAGCATTAGAAGTGACGCTCAGCTTTGTACAGTAGGCTATACTTCAGCCAGGCAAATGTCAAATAATAGCATGGTAAACCACGTTTTGCATAGCCTGTCACTCAAAGAGAAAGAAAATGTTGAAAACTTATCCCCTTTAAGACTAATGCCTTAAATCTAGCAATAGGGCCATCTAATTTAATTCCAACAAGACTGAATGCATGATTGGCATGCAACAACATCATTTTTCACAACTTTAGTTGTTACAACAGTTTCGTACCATCCTTTCCTCAGGATGACACATTTTGTAATTATTTTTATATTGAGCATTATTGCTCCCATACGATTTTTCTTTTAATTCACTGTTAACTAGAGTGGACAAACAGAAAGGAAAAGCAGAAGCAGTGGCAACAATATCCTCTACGTGTGTGTGTGTGTGTGTGTGTGTGTGTGTGTAATGCATTAATTACTCCTGGTACTAGAAAGCCTCTAATTGCTACCCAGGGACTTCGTTCAGCTGTTCAGGCTTGCATCCGATAGCCACCTCTGCTAGGTTGACTGCTCTTTAAGAGTGCTTTGTTTCTATAAGAGCACTTAGTTTCATGGTCAACTGCTCGGTTTTAGAAAGCAAAAGAGAACAGTCAGAAGAGGAGGAAGGCTGCTGTCGCAATGTTCACTCTCTGCCTCATGCTATCTGTGGCTTTACTCCGAAGGACCAGTTAAACATGTGGTCAGGAAGGGAGGAAGGAGGAGGAAATTCAAGGAGGGTACCTGTGGATCTCCTTCTCCCCACTCTCTTCACCATCAGGCTGCCCTATTCTGACAGCCCCAGATCGGAGGTGCAAACTTGCTCCACAGCTTGGGGTGGGGCAGTTGTGTGCAGCGAGTGAGTGCCGTCATGTGCACAACACGCATGAGTTACATCACATGTGTGATGTCGTGTCACCACATTGGGAGCCGGCCATGGAAGCTGCACTGCACTTGACTCCATGGTTGGCTCTGTGCTCAGCCTCTTCCACCCTCTGATTGTTTGGAACATTGGGGGTCCGACTCCCCAAAAATTATTGGGGTGGGCAATGTAGCTTGGGCCCCACAAGATGGTGCCCCTGCCCTGAATTGTTCTAGCTTGACCCATTCTGAGCAAGGGCATTCCAGGGCAGTCTCAACTGCATCTGACCAAATACAGCATTGGCCCAGATCAGCTCATTTTGGTTCCGTATCTGGCATTTGGCCAGACCTGGGGCAATACCCTACCAGGTACTGCTCCAGGTAAGAGGCTCTGCTAAGTTTATGAAGCTAAATGATCCCGCATCTGTATGAAACCAATTGAGAGGACTTTGCCCTGAAAGGCTGCATGTAAGTACTAGGAACGAATGGACTCCCTACTGTAGCCTGAGCCAATTGACTGCCTCTCAGCTTCATTGTCCTGCATGTGGAATGTGCAAATAACACTGACCCGCGGGTGGCGCTGTGGGTTAAAACCACAGAGCCTAGAACTTGCCGATCAGAAGGTTGGTGGTTCAAATCCCTGCGACGGGTTGAGCTCCTGTTGCTCAGTCCCTGCTTCTGCCAACCTAGCAGTTCGAAAGCACGTCAAAGTGCAAGTAGATAAATAGGTACCGCTTTGGCGGGAAGGTAAACAGCATTTCCATGTGCTGCTCTGGTTTTCCAGAAGCGGCTTAGTCATGCTGGCCACATAACCCGGAAGCTGTACGCCAGCTCCCTCGGCCAATAAAGAGAGATGAGCGTCGCAACCCCAGAGTCGGCCACGACTGAACCTAATGGTCAGGGGTCCCTTTACCTTTACCCAACAAGGCTGTTGTAAGGAATACAACTAGAACATCGTTGAGAGGGGGCTGCATACAAAAAAACAACAACCCCACATTTATATCTGCTCCATATCTGCAGACTTAGGAATAATGTTCTGTGGAACTGCTGTCCCATCAGATATATGTAGGTGACTGGATCTCTTTTTAAAACAGAACACAGTCTTTTATAGTAGCAGAAAACTTCAAATGCAATTCATAACCTTTATGCCTTTAATTGCAAGCTCAAAAATTAGGGACTGCCTTGAACCCTGTTTGGCCTATTATTCCTGGTGCTTCTTTCCTCCTCCTCCTCCTCCTCCTCCTCCTCCTCCTTTAGTCCCTGCTGGCAATAGCAGCAGAACAAAAGCACAAAGGAAACAATTGACAAAGAGTTTGTTTGCTAGCCTTTTCCAAGCCGTGCTGGTGAAGGAAATCATCTTTGTTACAAGGAACATTATTATCCTTCTTAAAACAAAACAAAACAAAACAAAAAAAAGCCTTATTACCGGATGGTTTTTATTTTATTTTGGCAATCTTTTCGAACGCTTGTATCCTGCATCTTCTTCCCAGTAGTTCGCTCTGAATTTGGCTCAGTCCAGAAATCGGGAGTGAATTCTCCTTTAGAACTCTGAGACAATATCTGATTGGTATGCAATGGAAGGGGTCTCTCTCTTTCTCAAAAACCTGTAGCAGCATAGGCAAAAGCTCGGAAAACGCAGCATAATTAAAGTTAAGTCTCTTTTGATATTGATATTT